TCCTTGCTTCAGATATCCAACCAGAGGGGAGTCTCCGGGAGTCGTGTCCAACTACAACAACTCTATGTAAACTGAGTCAAGCTCTCACCCTGTGGATTATCACTGTAGCAGAAAAAAAAGATCTGATTACAATGCACTTTGTTGATTCAAACTAAGACTAATTCAGAGGTTGTTTTTTTTCCAGATTGGCACGGTTCTATGTTGATGTTCAGGAGCTTCTGCTCAATGAGACAGAAGTCCAGCAGCTCAGCCGACTTTGGCGTGAAATGTCATCCTTTGCCAACTTCATGGACACACTACGAAGACGGCCATATGCAGTGACAGGTAGAGAGAAAGTCATGATAAGCAGCAATCACGTGTGATAAACTATAACTTTAAGTAGGATTGTAAACAAAACTTTTCTTTCAAAAAATCATCTTGACATGTAAAGACAATAACAGCACAACACTGCCCCAGGACCCAGTGGTTGGGAACCTCTTGTTTACATAATTGAACTGATCTATCCGTCTGATTTCCCATCCAGGTCGTGGACTTGAGTTAGAAGACATCCTGAAGGATGATGAGGATTTCACATCCTTCCTGCTGCGAGATGTCAATCTGTCACAATCAATAGTCTATCAGCTCATAAAAGCAAAAATAAGACTGGAACAGGTAGAAGTACTTCAATCTATACCACATAATTAACGACTACCTGACAATATAACGATTTTTTTTTACAACTGTGTTGTCCAACACGCTGCATTTAATCTCTTTTCTCCCATGTTCTCCAGTTTTCCTCTGGTATTCCAGAGCTTCAGTTGAAAGACATTGCATGCAGTCAGGCCTTGCTGGAGCGCTTCATCATTTTCCCCAGTAGCAGGGGTCTCCACATGGTCCGCAACACCATGTGTGCCCTCAGCCAGGAAAGGCTGCAGGAGGTAGAAGATGTTCTTTATAGGAATCTGGACTTCTTTAAGATCTTCAAGAGGGTACGAAAACTTTTTTTGACAGACCTAGTAACTAGCTTTTGTTTTGGTAACTTTGGTGATGGAACCCCACATACAGTATAGAGCAGTGGTTTCTTAACCATGGGGTTGCCACCTATGGTTCAGCCACAGGCCCCACAAGCAGTGGGGCCTCAGTTTAGTACCTGTGGTTTCAGACCTCCCACCCCTGAGGCAGTACCGTGAACTAGTAATGTTAAGCACCCTTGCAGTTCCGTGAACTAGTAATGTTAAGCACCCTTGGTGAACAGTATTTTTTTCCAAGTATTTAAAGTATACGAAGAGAACCAGAATCTGTTTCTAAAGACATTCAACAACAGACGGATTGACCAGGATACTGAACCAAGAAAAATGGCGCTGAAACTTTTTTCTTTCTACAACCGTTACTTTAATCAACTGATTGGCTTACAAAGGTATTAACCCGGTTGGCCTGTTTTCTCTAATGGGTTTAATAAGCCCTGCCCACAACCTGTGACATGGACTTTGAGACATGAGGCTGCGTCTCTTACTGTATATGTAAGTACTACATCAACTGGGCAAACTCAGAATCTATAAGTAAGGCGTTGTATGTAAGTAAGGATGTATCATTATCAACTGTTACTGTTAACATTATTATTTGATTTAAATTGGGCTTTCTTTATACCCCATGTTTAAAGCCCATTACCACAGGTCGTCTGTCCTCAGGTCACTTCTTTTTTCCATCAAGTCTCACCACTCTCCCTTCCTGTTCTTTCTCCCTGCACCACCGCTGCCTGCCTCCTTCCTTCATTCATTGAAATGCAGGCATGTGGACTGTGAGAGGAAGGATATCTGATGTTCATGTTTGTCTTGGCGTTTCGTCTTTCCGCAGCTCTCTGTCCTGACCCTGAGTTTTCTAGTAATCTCTACTAATGGATTCTTCAGAACCTCAAGTTGATGATGTTTTTTATTTTAAAGTCATTATTACCATACTACACACGAATAATTTAATTTAACACAGGCTTAGTAAAAATTTTACATTTTTAAAGACTACTTCAAATCCTATGGTAAGTAAAGCAAAACACTTAGGTGTGTGTGGTACTCATCCAACCTTTGGTTGTGTCTCCACAGATGCCTCAGGTTATGGACAGCAGTTCTGAGGGCATTGATCTGCACTTTTGGACCCGGGTTCTAAAGGCAATATCTGAGAAGCTCCAAACTGTGAGTTCTCCAAAGTTCATCACAAAGCTGCAGCTCTCTGTTGTTCTAACTCAAAAGTGGGGGATCAGAGT